GGAGGGGGAGGAAGAGGTCTGGTTCTGTGGCCAGGTCGACGCGCATGAGATAGAGTTCATCGTGCCCGACGCCCTCAGTTACCAGGCAGGCTCCGCCGCTCCCGGGCCGTTCCCGCGAGGAGTAGGAGGAGGCGGGAGGAGGAGGAGGAGGAGGAGGAGGAGGAGGGAGGAGGAGCGAGGAGGAGGAGGAGGAGAGGAGGAGGAGGTGGAGGAGGAAGGACGACCGAGAGACACAGAGCAGGAGGGAGAGCAGGCGCGAGGGCGGCGAGGCCAGGGAGGAGGCACGGGCACGGGCGGCATGTCAGTTCTTGCTGCTCTTCTTTTCACTGTCCACCGCGCTTCGCGGCACCACGTCCAGACGGGCTGGGGTCTCACGGATCAGACGAGGCTGTCTGGATCCCCGTGGGCCGACGCGGGGCCACCCTGAGGCCGCCTTGGGCCCGTGGGGCTCTTCGGGGCGCTCCTGGACTTCGTCGGGGCCTGCGCAGCTGCTGGGGGTGGCGCCCGCAGGAGACCCGTCCTCCAAGGTTGGCGATCCTTGGCGCCGCGGGTCCGGCTGGTAAAGGGGACTGGATTGTGGAGAGGGAGAGCGCAGGAAAGTATAGGCAGGGCGAGGAAGAGGAATGTGGCGCCAGGGTACCCTGCGTGCAGCTGGTTCTTTGCTCTGCTGCTCCCCCGTTGTCGTCCGCCACGACGGGTGCGCCTCCGGCGCTGGGTTGCAGCCCGACAATTTAGCTGCATGCAGCTGATTCGCTACTCCCACCCAAGAGGTCGTTCGAAACGGCTCGCGCAGAATACTGCGGGCTTTGTCAACGGTTAAGTCGGGCCTGTCCCTCTACAGGAGGAATATTCAAGAATAGTGAAAAAATAGTCAGGGGACGATTTTTTTGAGTATTCCTGGGCAGTTTTTGAATTTGTTTGACTGTTTTTTATTTTTCGCCCAAAATTTCCCTGTAGGGGGATATGCCCGACCTAAGTCTACGGGGCCCTCGTTTCCCAGGGCGTTGACGCACCGATTCCGTGATACAGTCGGGGTGCTGAAGAAGGGGGCTCGGTGTTCCTTGATTGTTCAGCAGTTTGGCTCAAGCTCCCCTGAGGCTTTCCAGGGGAAACCGAAGTTCAACTCATGGGAAAAAGGGGCCTCGTTCCTTATTCAGGGTTCCTTTGGTCAACGCTCCGACTCTACACCGTCTCCTTGACATTTGACTCCACATCTCTGCCTGCTGCTTCCTTCCTGCCTCCCCTTTTTTCTTGCGCAGGCTGCCGAGCGCGAGCCTCCTGCCTCCCCCGCCCCTCCCCCTGTTTGCATGCGCGCTGTCTCGTGAATCGGTCATGGCCTCTTCCCGGTCCTCTCAGAGGGCCAGCGCGCCTCGCAGCGCGCCCGTCGCCCAGCCATGGGGCCGCCTCCGGGCGACGACGCTCCGCCTCGCGCCGCTTCGCTCGCGGAGGGCCGCCCTGCTTCCGCGCAGGCGTGCGGAGAGCTCCGTTGCGCCGGGGCTGCGGGCGGAGGGCCTCCGCCGCGCGCGCGGCGGGTTCGCCCGAGGTCTGGGGTCTCGCCGTGAGCGGTGCAGCCGGAGATGTTCGCCCCTCTTCCAGGAGGGAAGGAAACGCACCGACATAATTCATCGTCGATTCCCCAGAGAAGACGGGAAACTACGGGAAGGGGGGGGGGAGGCGAAGAGCCCAGAAGATATGTAGGGAAACATGGGGAATCGGGTGATTTGTGTCTATTTGTTTGTGTGTCCCAGGGCCCCTTCACTCTTTTCCTCCTCTCGAGTTTGGTGGTTCGTAGCCTTGGAACTGGAAATCCCATGGCTCGCTAGGGGCTGGTTTCCTTTCAAAACAGCCGGAACACTCCCGAGATCCTCCGAAAACCCTCCGGGAAGGGTTCCGGGATGCTTTTCACAGGGTTTCGGGAGGGTTTGGGAAGGTGTTTCGTCGTTTTGGAGGGAAGCCAGTCTCTAGCGAACCATGGGCTTTCTAATTGTAGCTTCTACTTTGTCAGTGCAGTCTGTTGCGCGGTCTGCCCCTAGCCCACGGGGACGTTGCGACCAGACGATGGCGAGACGCCGGCCACCCGCAGTCAAGGACGGCCCCTGGTGGTGTCGATGAGGACCCCCCCCACATCTCCTCCTCCCATTAAGCGGCTGTGACCCGGGACGCAACTCTTTAATTTGGGAGAAAGGAGGAGCTGATAGACAGGGCATGCCCTCGCTACCCTCCTCCATGTAGAGGGTACGAGTTGGGGCTTTCCCCAGGAAGAACAGGTGTCCCCATGGATAGATCATTCAACCCCCAAGGATCGTCTAGTGGCGGTCCGCCCGCTCGTAGACCTGCAAGCTTGGTCAGTGGTCCCTCCCTCCCTCCTTACATCCTCCCAGCGTTTTGCCTTGTAGTCTTGCACCCTTACCTAGCCGGTGGAGCCTCGCGCTGTGATCTCTGGCGACTGTTGTTTTTCCCCCCTCTTCCGCTCCTTTGCTCTCACCTCGCCTCCTCTTCAGACTTCCCCTCGCGTGGTTGGGATTTGGGTGTCGTTCCTGTCGTCTGCGACGTTTTGTTATCTTTACTCAATTTGGGACTTTGCTTTCCTGCGGTTGTGTGGGGCATGCTTATCCGAAAGGGCTTCGCTCCCTGCCGCCAGCCCACTCTCGGAGAATGGGGCATGCAAGAGCTATGTTGTGAGGCCTGGACGCCGCCGTGAAGCAGCGTCGGAACTCCGAACAGGTGCCACCTGAGATATCCAGGTGCGTATTGCGTAACTTATGAAATAGTATTGTCTCGGAGACGCGAATCTTGCGTAACTTACAAGGTATTATGGTTTCGGGAGCGCGAACACCGTGTAATGTACTAGGGTTTATGGCCTCGGGGACGCGATTCTGGTATACTTTACAAGGGATTGTGGCTTCGGGGGCGCGAATTTGGTGTAATTTATCCTGGGTTCTGGTTTCGGTGGCGCGAATCTGATTTATTTTTTGTGTCCCAGGACCCCCCAGAAATTTTGAGAACCCCCCCAGGTGAAGGTAACCAGGGCCCTTTCGGCTCCCCCACCTCGCGCGGACTTCGACAGTTCACAGTAGGAAGCAGGACACATAAGATGTAACATCGGAGACTGGACACTGGAACTGGAGCAGGGAGCAGCTAGCCTAAGTCGCGGAGCCTGATGGCCCCACAAGGGGGCCGTCGGGCATGAATGGTCGGCCAGACCATATGGGTTGCACACAACGTCTTGCCGCTTCACCTCGGCGTGGCTTCCTTCTCGCTCCCCTTGCTCTTCATCCTTGGGCCTTCGCTTTTCCAGGGCACGTTTGTGTCGGCGGCCGCTTCGGGTCATGCCATACTTGAGTCTAGCGAATGTCGGCGACCGATTCCTGGAGGCTAGCTGCTTGTGGCGTGTTTGCAGCGTAACAGATATGCCTCCCTTCCTGCATCCTCTCCCTCCGCTCTGCTCCCAGATGGGCCAGAACACTCGCTCGGTGTCCAAGACCGTTGGCAACTTCCGCTTCAGGAGACCTGGCGGTTGCGGCACGATAAGATAGGGGAGAATGATAGGGAGGGATAGTGGAGAAGGAGGAGTAGGATGTCACGTGACGATGACGACGATAGTGATGATGATGCTGATGATGATGCTGATTCTGCTGCTGCTGATGATGCTGCTGCTGCTGATGATGATGAGGATGATCATGATGATGATGATGATGATGATGATGATGATGATGATGATGATGATGATGATGATGATGATGATGAGGAGGATGATGATGAGGATGATAATGATACTGTTGTTGATGATGCAGAGAATGATGCTGATGGTGATGATGGTGGTGATGCTGATTGTGATGATGGTACTGCTTATTGTGATGATGAGGATGAGTCGAAGGTGTGTGTGTGTGCTTTTGTGTGTGTGTGTGTGTGTATGTGTGTGTGTGTGTGTGTGTGTGTGTGTGTGTGTGTTTGTGTGCGTGTAAGAGTGTGCGTGTGCGTGTGAACGCAGTCACGTGTTAGCCAGGCTTCTTACATGATATGTGATGATGGAGATGATGATGCGGGTCCCCCTCAAGTTTCCGAATGATCCCTGGGGATTCCTGATGGATTCCGATGGATTCCTGGAGGATTTTTAATGGATTCCTATGGGTTCCGACCGGATTTTTCAGGATTCTTGTCGATTCCTCAGGATTCCTGAGGATTCTTTTTGATTCCCGAGGGATTCCTGAGGATTCCTTAGGGTTCTTGAGATTCGTATGCATCCCCCCGGGATTCCTGGCGATTCGTTCGGATTTCTGAGGTTTCCTGGAGGATACCTTCGGGATCCCTTTAGGGTTTCTGGGAATTCCTATGTTTCCCGGAGGACTTTTGAAGGATTCCTGGAGGATTCTGCGGGTTTCCTGGAGGATTTCTTAGGGATTTCGGAGGGTTCCTCAGGGTTTCGTCGTATTCCTTGATGGATTCCTATGGATCCCGATGGATTCAGAAGGATACATGAGAAATGCCTGAGGAGAGGATTCCGAGGGTTCATCCCTGGGGATTCTTGAGTATTCGTGCGGGTTCCTGAGGGGTTTCCTGGGGATCCCCAGGGATCCCACAGGATTCCTAGACATTGATGCATTCCTGAGGATGCTAGAGGCTGCCTGATGATTTTTAGGAAGTCGATAGGAGTTTCGAAGGTCCACCAAGATTCCGAATGATTCTGAAGGATCCCTGGAGGTTTCCAAGGGATTGCCGGGATTCTTTGGCATACCAGGGAGGTCCTAAAGAATCCTTCGGGATTTCCTGAAGGGTACCTGCGGGACTCCTGCGGGATTCCTGTGGAGTCCAGAGGGTTCGAGAGGATTCCAAAAGAGGGTTCCTGGGGATCCCACAGGGTTCTTAGACATTGAGGACTCCATAGGGTGCCCAAGGATGCCTGAGGATTCTTAGGAAGTCCTGGAGAGCTACAAGGAGTCACCAAGGTTCCAAAGGATCCCAGAAGGATTCCAACGGATTCCTGAAGGATTCCTCCAGATTCTTATGGATGTTTGAGGGACTGGAAGGATCCCATGGGATTTCTTGAAGGATCTCGATCCATTCCTGTGGGATTCCAGAGGGTTCCAACGGAGTCCTGCGGGATGTCTACGGACCCATGCTGATTCCGAGGGGTTCCCATCGATTCCTGAGGATTTTTTTGGAGTCCTGAGGGTCCAGACGGATTTCTGAAGGATTCTGGAGGATCCCGTCACATTGGATTAGCATTTTTTTTTGTACAGGGTTTCTTTTTGCTGGGCCTTGGACAGGGTTCCCGTGTCAAGAATCCTTGGTTTTGATTCCGTGATGAGGACTCCTTGACTAATGGATTCCGTGCCCATACTTGTTTACTAGGGGTTCTGCATCAAGGGTTCATTGCCAAGCGTTCCTTAACTATTTTTCCTTACTAAGCAGTCCCCAGTAAGGGGTCCTTCTGGAGGGTTCCTGGGTACAGGGTTGTCTAAGGGTTTATTTCACTTAATTAGTCTCCATACGTAGGGTTCCCTGGCAAGGATTCCTTATGCAGAGCCCATTCATTCAGTTTTCCTTACTAAGGATTCCTTCATGCAGAATTCTTACTTCGCATTCAGTGGGATTTCTTACTCAGGGTTCCGTATGTATGGTTCCTTACCAAATATTTCTAGGTACGGGCTCCTTACTCAAGGTTCTTTATTAATGGCTCCGCATGAAATGTTAATTCCTCACTCGGGGTTCTTTGCTAAGGATTTTGTCGCTCAGCACTCTTAGCATTCACTCGTAGGGATCCTTACCGATGACTGCCACTACATCAAGGCTTCCTTGGTGGGAAACCTTTTTGCGAGTGCTTTCGGGAGACCTCCTTTCTAATTCATACGTCACTTAGAATTTCCTAGTACGGGGCGTGTGCTATGGATTTCTCATAGAAAGGGTTCCGTACGAAAGAATCTTTACCTTGTGTTCCTGATTCAGATCATACCCCACTACTAAGCATTCTTCGACCAAGAACCGTCAACAAACAGTCTTTTTCTGGTAAGGGTTTCCAGTGTTTCCGTATACCAGCATTCATGTCTTATCTTTCCCCGAAGGGATCCCTTACGACTGAGCACTGATTTATGGGCCAGTACTTCCTGACACACGGAATGCTTATTGACGGTTTCGTATTAGGGATTGCTTGCAGACGACCCCTTCCCAAATATGCCATAATGGGCTTCCCCGCTAAGGATCCTCAGTAAGGGCTCCTGAGAAATAGTTTCTTACGGAGCATTCTATATACATGTTTCTTTTTGATTCCTCATTAAGAAGTCCTTACTAAGGATTCCAGGTTAAGTATTCCTTACGAAGGATTCCTTAACATTGATTTCATATCCAGGAACCCTTCCTTATTGAGGATTCCTCGGTAAGGAGTTCTGCCCAAGGATTTTCCATGCAGTGCATGGATTTCAGTCCAAGGATGCTTGCGGCTTCCCAACGAAGAGTGCCTTATTTGTGACTCTTGACCGACACTTCTGGACGCCTTATTTCGAGTTCACTACCCAGCAGTCCTTATGAAGGGTTCGTTGTTTAACCTTCCGGACTTAGGATTCTTGACGGAATATTCCTCTCTACGGGTTCCTTACGAAGAGTTCAGGAGTTCTTACGAAGGACCCCTGACGAAGGATTCCTCGCTCAAGGTTTATGGTTTCGTTACGAAGGATTCTTTACCATGGGTTCCGTACCATGGATTCCTCATTAAGGATTTCTTGTTTATTTGCCCTATCACAGTAAGGAATACGGACTCAGGATTCCTTACTAAGGTATTCTTATCAAGGGCTCCTGAGTCCCTATTGTGGAGTCTTTATTGGGGGGTCCTGATGGAGGGATCCTGATGATGAGGCACTAGTGGGGATTCTTTAAGAAGGATTCCTTACCAAGGGCCCCCCCTTGAAGTATTAGTTGTCAAATATTCCTTCTTACTGATTCCTTCCAACGAAGCCTTTACTACATACTACATGCTGAGGATTCTGAGCGCACGTTTCCTAACAATGACTTGTTACCAAGGGTTCCTCCTTCAGGTTTCTTCATTCAGGTTTCCATTCGGAGGGTTCCTTAGTCAGGATTTCTTTGCTAAGGACTCCTTATCACGGAGCCCTTGGTAGATTTCTTATGACTGAGTCCTGATTAAAAAAAAGCTCCTCATTAAGGAGTATGTATACATGAGTCCTTACGAAGATGTCCTTACCAAGTGTTCTATGCAAATGCTTTCTTACTACCGATTGCTTACGGAGGATTCCTTCTCCAGGGTTCATCCTTAAGGATGCCATCGACACGTTTCTTTAGGAAGGGTTCTTTTCTAAGGAACTCTTCTTTCGGTTTCCTTATGGAGGATTCTTCAGTGGGGGATTAGTAAGAAGGGTTCCTTACCAACGATATCTCACTACTGATCTTTCGTTGTGGATTCCTGATGTTGGATTGGTTGATGGGGAGTGTTTACACGGGTTCCTTATGAATGATGCGTCACCATGCGTTCTTTACTGAGGATTTTGTTCTCGAGGTTCCCTTGCGGAGGATTCCTCATGATTCTTTTCTTGTGGAGGGTGCCTGATTCAGATGTCCCGACTAAGGATTCCTGAGTGATGATCCCTCAATAAGGATTCCATATTGGGGTTCCTTCCTAAGAATTCCTTACTCTGGGTTCTTGAGCAAGGGTTTCTTTACTAAGGACTCCAGTAAGGAATTTTCGCAACAAAGTCTTCAATAAGGATTCCTTGCGCAGCTTTCCGTGCATATGGTTTTGTAAGCATGGTTTCTTAGAACGGAGTATTTACTCCGGTTTTCAGACGGAGTATTCTTTATCAGGAAGAGACCTTAAAAGGGAGGCGGTATCAAGAATGTCCTACCTAGGATTCTCTAATGCAGAAGTTCGTTTCGCTGGTGCGCTTATCTGCTCCACTTGGGGGGTCTCGTCAAGGGTCGTAAGGATGTCACTTGGGGTTGGGAGACTTTGTTTGTGGTTGTTCTCCAAATCGGCTTGCCCTATAGGAGTCCGAGCTCATCATAAGTAGTTTGTCTTTCGGACCACCCCTCCTTTTTCCAGTGGCCTCCCTCCCTTTTTCCAATGGCACGCCCCCCTTTTTCCCATGGCACGTGCTTGCTTGCTTTCGCGTGCTTGCTCTCGCTTGCTTGCTCTTGCTTGCCCTTGCTTGCTTGCACTTGATCGCTGGCTCTTGCTTGCTTGTTATGACTCGCTTGCGCTTGCTTGCTTCCGCTTGCTTGCGCTTGCTTGATATTGTTCCTCCTGTTCTCCTCCCGTCCTGCTCCCGTCCTCCTTTCGTCCTCCTCCCATCCTCCTCTCGTCCTCCTCCTACCCTGCTATCTATTTGTAGTCAACGCTGGCGGATATTTTCTTGTGCGGGTGTGGGTGTAGTTTAGCCTCCCCCCACGTCCCCCCCCCCGCTGGTGTGGGCCGGGAAGGGCCTCGGGTCCTGTTCTCGTGAACAAGAGAGGACGAGTGCGTGTGACCCTGGGGACACGGCCACAGGGACCCGTTGTTGTCTGGAGGTTGACTTGTCAGTTGTTTTGATATGAACGTGCTCGTCCCTGGGCTCGCACCCGGTTTTTATCAGGAAACACTTTCTGTCACCAAACCCGTTAGTTATTGGATTTCGATATACACAAGTAAGGGCTCCTGCTTAATACTTCCTCACCATTTAATCCAGGATCGCGCTCTCGCGTGAATCTTCGTCACATTTTATGCATGAATCTCCCTCTCGCTTGGGACCTACTCGCAATTTATTCAGACGCCGCGCCTTCGACACTCAGGAATCACGCTGTGGATTTGGTTTTCTTTCAGGATTGAATTGGGAATCGCGCTATCGCTTGAGGCTTCTCGCGATCCATGCAGGACTCGCGCTTCAACAACCCGCCTGCTCGACCTAGCCGCCTGGGCCCGCCTTCCCGACCCGCCCGCTAAGGTTCGCCCGCCCGATCTGCCCTTCTGGTTCTGCCACGTGATTTCTGCTCCTGGCCCCCTCCTAGTTCCTCTCGTGCTCCATCCCTCTCCCTCCCCCTTCCATCCGTCCTCTCTTCCCCCAGTTTCGGGGCTGCGCTATATGCGCGTGGCAGGTTAGGAAGATATACCACCAAGGGGGTATGATCGAAAGCGAACAGGGCGGGTACTGAGGGTTTGGGATCTACATGTTGAATGGCACGCGAGGAGATAGGAACGAACAGTCTTAAACTGATTGCTGTTGTTGTTGTTGATGATGGAGACGAGGACGAGGTGCTGGGGCCGCCAGGATCCTTGTGTTCCCGAGCGGCACGCACACCACGGGCGGCCAGCAGGCCTCGCCAGCGGGTGGGTTGGAGAAGGATGAAGGTTGCAGTCGGGGGCCGCCAAGAATCCGGATGCACCGATCCTGGGAAAATCATCTGTGGACATTCTTCGGCCCACCCAGGGTCGGTTTATGTGGACAGAGACGATCATATACGCGAAGCCTGGTCCCAGGGCCCTGCCAACCCCCGCCACGTGGGGCACCCAGAATAGCAGGGAGGGGCGAAGGAGGAGAGTATCGACAGATGGCACGACGGTGTCTCCTTAGAGCTGCTCCTCCTCCCACTCCTCGCTCGTCGTCGTCGTCGTCGTCCTCCTCCTCCGCCTCTTCCTCCTCCTCCTTTCTGCTGCTGCTGCTCCTCCTGCTAGCGTGAGTGCGCGACGAGTGTCGTGCTGAGGTCAGCGCGTTCGTCGAGGCGGACCCCTTTCCGCACTTGGACCCGAGGTGGGTGTTCAACAGCGTGAAGTACCAGGCCTGGGGGGGTGGCCACCCGCGCGGCGCTGCCCATTGGGCAGCGGAGGGGTCGAAACCAACATGGTGCCGCACTCTTTCGGGGGCCGTCCTGGAGCTCCGAGGGGAGGCGCAGGTGCAGGAGAAGGAGGGAAGGAGGGAGGCAGGGGGATGGAAGGGGGGAGGAGGAGGATGAGGATGATGATGCTGATGATGATGATGATGATGATGATGATGATGATGATGATGATGCTGATGGTGATGATGATGATGATGATGATGATGAGGAGGAGGAGGAGGAGGAGGAGGAGGAGGAGGAGGAGGCGGAGGCGGAGGCGGAGGCGGAGGAGGAGGAGGAGGAGGAGCATGATGATGATGAGGAGGAGGACAGGGACCATAGCATATAAGCCAAACAAGAGTTGACGACGCTGCATTCCGCTCGTCCGTCCCAACTCGCCTCTCCATGATTTCCTGAATGCCTTCCTCTTCACTGCCTCGATTTTCACTACACGATGGACACCCTTGAGAGACCAGCACCCTAATGGCCTGCCATTCGGGCGAGACCCCCGTTTGGAAGCGGACACGCCTTGCAACCTTCTGGCGAGTACTGTGGAATACGAGACGGTATATCAGCTAGCGTGGGGCCTAAACATGGTGTTCTAGCACACTGCGTGGTGCAATCTAGGTGGGGCAAGGCATTTTTGGTGTGAGCTAGGTGGTGCAATCTATGTGGTGCAATTAATTTCTGTTCGCAGTGAGTTGTCCACTGCTCGCGCAAACATCGCACCCACCCACCCGCAACCTGGTTTGCAAAATCTCTTACGACCGTGACGGTGGGTACCACATGGCACTTGGCAACAACAGCGACGCCGACGACGACAGCGACAGCGACGATGACGACGCCGCTGACAACGACTACGACGACACCGACGACGTCTCCAACGAATTCGACGACGCCGACAACGACGACGACGACGACACCGACGACGACGACGACGACGACACCGACGCCGACGACGACGACGATGACAACGACGACGACGATGACGACGCCGACGACGACGATAACGGCGACACCGACGACGACGACGACGTCAACGACGCCGACGACGACGACGACGACGGCGGCGACGACGACGCCGACGTCGACAACGACGAAGACGACAACGACGCCGACGCCGACGACGACGAAGACGACGACGACGTCGCCAACGAAGACAACGAGGCAGGAGGGAGGACGACGACGGCGACAACGACGACAACGACGAGGGAGGAGGGATGACGGCGACGACGCGAACGACGAAGAAGGAGGAAGGACGGCGACGCCGACGACGGCAACGACGAGGGAGGAGAGAAGACGACGACGACAACGACGACGACGACGACGGCGACGAAATAGGAGGGACGACGACGAGACGCCGACGACGGACGAGGACGACGACGAGGGAGGAGGAGGAAGGACGACCACGGCGACAACGACGACGGAAACGACCACGACGCCAAAGAGGACGACGACGACGACGAACACGAGGAAAGACAGAGGACGACGTAGGCGACGACGACGACGACAACGACGCAAGAGCGCGCGCGCACGCTTTTGTTGAACATCCGTGTTGCGAAACCTGGGTTGTTTGTAGGTTTTTTGGACGCACGATTTTGAAATCCTTCCGAAACCGATGGGTTTTGAAGGTTTTCGGCATACGCGCGCGACGACGCGCGCGTCTGCACTTCGTCCCATTTTTTGAAGGGGGTTTTCGCGACGGCACACGCGCAAGGGCGTTCGACAGATTTCGACATGAGCACGCGCGAAGCCCGTTTGGTAGCATTTTGTGAAAATCTCGAAAAAACCTATGGTTTTCTTAAGATTTCGCAAGAGCTCGCGCGGAAGCTTTTTCAGCAAGTCAGTGTTGCGAAACCGTGTGTTTTTGTAGTTTTTTTTTGGAAGCTCGATTGCGAAATCCTTCCCGCACCGAAGAATTTTGAAGGATTTTGGCATGCGCGCGCGACGACGCGCGCGTGTGCACTTCGTTTTTTTTGGTTGCAAGGGATTTGCGAAAAAGTGTTATGTTAGAACAACACATGTCACCGCATAGTGTTTTTCACAAGGGAACCTCAGGGGGGGGGGAAAACGGCCTAGGTGGGATGGTATGATGTCATATTTTGGATGGACGAGTGTGCAGAATATATATATATATATATATATATATATATATATATATATGTTTTTTTTTTTATATATATATATATATATAAGTATACATATAACCTTGTACTATCCCAGGGGGAACCGATAAGTCCGGGGGGGGAGGGGGGTCGAGTCTATTATTCTTATTTTTGAAAAGAGTGTTCACTCTGCTGAACTTGAAGTCGTCATCTCCACTGCTCGCGCAAACATCCCACCCACCCACCCGCAACTTGGTTTGCAAAACGTGTTAAGACCGACTACGACGACACCGGCGGCAACGACTAGGACGACACCGACGACGTCTCCGACGACTTCGACGACGACAACGACGCCGACGACGACGAAGACGACGACGACGCCAACGAAGGCGACGACGAGGGAGGAGGAAGGACGACGACGGCGACAACGACGACAACGACGACAACGACGAGGGTGGAGGGAGGATGGCGACGACGTGAACGACGAAGAAGGAGGAAGGACGGCGACGCCGACGACGACGACGAGGGAGGGAGGAGGGAAGACGACGACGACAACGACGATGACGACTGCGACGAAATAGGAGGGACGACGACGAAACGCTGACGACGGACGACGACGACGACGACGTGGGAGGAGGAGGAAGGACGACCACGGCGACAACGACGACGGAAACGACCACGACGCCAAAGAGGACGACGACGACGAACACGAGAAAAGACAGAGGACGACGTAGGCGACGACGACGACGACGCGGGAGGGGGGAGGACGGCGACGACGACGACGACGACGACGCAAGAGCGCGCGCGCACGCTTTTGTTGAAAATCCGTGTTGCGAAACCTGGGTTGTTTGTAGGTTTTTTGGACGCACAATTTTGAAATCCTTCCGAAACCGATGAGTTTTGAAGGTTTCGGCATACGCCCGCGACGACGCGCGCGTCTCCTCTTCGTTTCATTTTTTGCAAGGGATTCTCGCGACGGCACACGCGCAAGGGCGTTCGACAGATTTCGACATGAGCGCGCGCGAAGCCCGTTTGGTAGCATTTTTTGAAAATCTTGAAACACCTAAGGTTTTCTCACGATTTCGCAAGAGCTCGCGCGGAAGTTTTTTTAGCAAATCAGTGTTGCGAAACCCTGTGTTTTTGTATGTTTTTTTTTGTTGAAGCTCGATTGCGAAATCCTTCCAGCACCGAAGGTTTTTGAAGGATTGCGGCGTGCGCGCGCGACGACGCGCGCGTGTGCACTTCGTCTCGTTTTTTGCAAGGGATTCGTGACAAGTGTTATGTTAGAACAAAAAATGTCACCGCATAGTGGTTTTTTACAAGGGAACCTCAGGGGGGGGGAACCGGCTTGGCTGGGATGGTATGATCTCATATTTAGGATGGACGAGTGTGCAGAATATATATATATATATATATATATAATATATATATATATATATATATATATATCTATGTGGTATAGTATATGTATATATGTATATATGTATATATATTATATTATATATATATATATATATATATTATATATATATATATAAAATCGTACTATCCAAAGGGGAGCCGATAAGTTCGGGGGGGAGGGTAGAGTCTATTCTCCTGTTAGCAAGGAGAACCTATCAGGTGCTGCAGTACACGTTATGCAGCCTATTGGGTGCCATTTAATTTCTGTTCGCATTGAGTTGTCCACTCCACTGCTCGCGCAAACATCCCCCCTACCCACCCGCAACTTGGTTTGCAACATATCTTCAGACCGTGACGGTGGGTACCACATGGCACTTGGCAACAACAGCGACGCCGACGACGACAGCGACAACGACGATGACGACGCCGCCGACAACGACAACGACTACGACGACGACCGACGACGACGACGACGACGACGACGACGACGACGACGACGACACCGACGCCGACGACGACGACGATGACAACGACGACGACGATGACGACGCCGACGACGACGATAACGACGACACCAACGACGCCGCCAACGACGCCGACGACGACGACGACGACGATGACGACGACGACGCGACGACGACGACGACCGACGACGACGACGACAAACGACGCCGACGACGACGACGAAGACGACGACGTCGTCGCCAACGAAGACAATGAAGAAGGAGGGAGGACGACGACGGCGACAACGACGACAACGACGAGGGAGGAGGGAGGACGGCGACGACGCAAACGACGAAGAAGGAGGAAGGACGGCGACGCCGGCGACGGCAACGACGAGGGCGGAAGGAACACGACGACGACGACGACAACGACGACGGCGACGAAATAGGAGGGACGACGACGAGACGCCGACGACGGACGACGACGACGAGGGAGGAGGAGGAAGGACGACCACGGCGACAACGACGACGGAAACGACCACGACGCCAAAGAGGACGACGACGACGAACACCAGGAAAGACAGAGGACGACGTAGGCGACGACGACGACGACAACGACGCGGGAGGAGGGAGGACGGCGACGACGACGACGACGACGACGCAAGAGCGCGCGCGCACGCTTCTGTTGAAAGTTTGTGTTGCGAAACTGTGTGTTTTTGTAGGTTTTTTGGGCACGATTTTGAAATCCTTCCGAAACCGATGGGGTTTGAAGGTTTTCGGCATACGCGCGCGACGACGCGCGCGTCTGCACTTCGTTTCATTTTTTTGCAGGGGATTCTCGCGACGGCACACGCGCAAGGGCGTTCGACAGATTTCGACATGAGCGCGCGCGAAGCCCGTTTGGTAGCATTTTGTGGAAATCTTGAAAAACCCATGGTTTTCTTAAGATTTCGCAAGAGCTCGCGCGGAAGTTTTGTTAGCAACTCTGTGTTGCGAAACCCTGTGTTTTGTAAGT